TAATACTCCTGACCATTTTGACTCTGGGTTTTTCCTTTCCTTTTTAATTTAAATTTCTAGAGAAATTCAGTCCTTTAGATATTGAAGATAGGTACTGAATAAGCCAGTACAGTAAAAACAGACCTCCTTTTGTTCAGTCCGCTCTCCCTTCCATGGCTGAAGTTCTATCATTCTTCAGTTAATTAACATTGATTGAATAGCTTCTAGCTACAGCTTAAAAAAGAAAAAAAAAAAAGAGGAAGAAGAGAAAATACAGAGGGCATTGTAATTTCCCTACAAAAATAGAACTTTTGAGAAAATAAGCATTCAATGTACTTCATTCATTCTTTGATTCAGTTAATCAGTCACAAAGAAAAATTTTGCCAAGTACATACAGAATGGCAGATACTGTGCTAGGTTTACAAACACAGAAATGATTAAAAGCCAGTTGCTCCCTTTAGGGAGCTCCCAGTCAAGGAAACAGTTACAGGTAGTGTGTGATCTATTGTTAAGAGTACGCAGAAACATGTCTCTATTACTTGTTAAGAGTAGTCTCTAAGCTCAGATGAAGGGTTGTAAGGCTTAAGCGCAGACCCCTCTTCTCATGGCTGGATCTGTGATAGAAAGCCAGGATGCATTCAGAAAGGACTGTGGAAATCCCCAAGCTGCCAGTGGGGTCATTGGTACCTGTCTGTTTCCTCGTGTGATCTGTTCTGAGCCGTTAGGATTTTCATAAATCCATACTCACCTCTTATTTTGCCCATCAACTCTGTCCTACATATTTATACCGGAAAAGCCACAGGTAGACATGGAAGTTCATCTTTTCTTCAAAGCACCATTTCACTTACTCTCGGAGAGGCTTTTTCACACCAAAGAATTGAATAGGTACCTTGAGAGTCTGTCTCTCCCTTTCCTGCTTCAGCTTTCCCACCTCTTGGTAATTTGTTTGGCGATCCCTAGTCTGTACGGATACCTCACATAACCAGAAAACCTTTCAACTAAACAGGATTTCATCTTTAAAGTACTAACTTCAGAACTGAGAGAAGAAGGGAGAGCATGTGGTGAGGGTTAGAAATTTTTACAACTTGGTCAGGTTTCAGTGTTTAAAAATTTTGGGGGTGCTGGAGGATTGGTTCATGTTTTTCAACTAGTTTTACCTCTTAATGGCTGAGGTGCCAGAATGATACAGAAGAAGAGAGCAAATTTGCACTCAAGTCAGAGGATGATAGATTAGATACCAAAGAGACCTTAACGCTTGATTAATCTAACCTCCTTGTTTTCTAGATAAGGAAACTGAGACTCAGAGAAGTCAATTGATTTGTGTTAAGTCCCACACCTGGTCAGTAGAAGTATTACAGACAACCCTATGTGAAACATACCCAATGGTTATACTGCTGAGAAAAGGGAATTTCAACAGGTCAAAATAATACATAAAGTAGGGGATTTTGTTTCAGAACTTGAACTCCCATCCCGCTTTGCCTCTAGGTGAGCAGGAAAGAACCCCAACTAGAAGGAGATGACACATAAGCACAGTCCAAGGAAACCCCACAACACCTGATGGTAGGGCGTGGATGCAGGGTGGTAGGGCCCTCTCCGCCGTGGGGCAGGAACAGCTTACTGTTGTGCCGTCACTGCTTCCTCGGTCGGTAGGGTCACCAGCCTGGTGTGGAGGAGACTGGAAGGACCTGGCCCCAACAGTTTCTTCCATATATGGTTATGACTTCATTGGAAGGACTGGTTTTGTTTGTTTGTTTGTTTGTTTGTTTTTCCTAGAGCATTTGGTCATTGTCAGTGCTGTCAGCAAGAGATCGAAGTGCAACATTGGCTGACTCAGAGCAGCCTCCTGTGTCCCTTTATGGGTCACTAAACTCCAGGTATAAGTCAATGATCTGGGGAGTCCACATGAAGTGGGAAGTGGCCAGATTCCACTCTGGGAGTGTATATGAGGGTAATGTTGGATGTGAGGTGCACACCAAACTTTTAACCTGCATATGGGTTGGGTGCTAGGCAAGAGGTTGGGAGGAGGGCACTGTCCTTGGAAAGGCCTGGCCACAGTATGGCCCTGAAGATCTACTGGAAGGCTTGGTAGAAGGGGGCTATATAATACGAAAGAGTCGCAGTAGGAGGAAGGGAGGTGGTACAGAAGCTGCTGTCCGTGGTGCCACTCAGGAACTCTGCCCTAATTTGCAGAGGTAGCAGGACTAGAGTTATTAACAGCCCAACAAGCTGGGGCCTACTGATTCTGAGGGAAGATGGCTGGGGTAAAGTTGGTATGGGTTAGGGACTGAAGCAATGAAAACATGCCCATGGGGAGATGAGTATTGGGAGGCCATGGAGTACGTGCTTTGTTCTTTTTAAAATTGTGGTGAAATACACGTGACATAAAATTTATTTTAACCATCTCTTCAAGTATATAATTCACTGGCATTAAGTCCATTCACACGGTTATCGCACTGTCTGGTTCCAGAACTTGTTCATCACCCCAGATGGAAACACCATACCCATTAAGCAGTCAGTCCCCATTTCCCCTTCCTCCCATCCCCTTACAACCACTCATCCACTTTCCGTCTTGTCTCTATGGATTGTGCATGGATTTTATGTCAGACAGATCTGGGTTCACCCTGGCTATGCCACTTTCTAAGAGTACCTTGGCTCAACTAACTTTGCTTCTCTGAGCCTGTTTTCCACATTTTTAGAATGGGCATAAAAATGCTTAACCTACAGGACTTGTGAAGAGCAATTGCGTATTAAATGTTTAGCTGAATAACCTGGTTTTTTTTTTAAGATTTTATTTATTTGACAGAGAGACACCGTGAGAGAGGGAACACAAGCAGGGGGAGTGGGGGAGGGAGAAGCAGGCTCCCCGCTGAGCAGGCAGCCCGATGTGGGGCTTGATCCCAGGACCCTGGGATCATGACCTGAGCCGAAGGCAGACGCTTAACGACTGAGCCACCCAGGTGCCCCTAACCTGGTTTATTCTTGAATAGACATTGCAATTAAATGGTAGTTATTGTTGGCTTCATAGAAATAGTAACAGTGGGTTCATTTAAGTTGTATACTTCTGTAACAACTGCTTGGTCACCAAACATTCAGGTAACACAACTTAATCATCTATCGTAATAGGTGCTGAAATAGAGAAATAGAGAGGCTAGTTGAAGAGGGGAAAGATGGCTGTGTATTTACGGACCGATTATAAGCCCTAAAATGCTATTGGAATTTAGAGAAGAAAAGTCATTAATGGTGGTTAGATGCTTACTAAATATTTAAATTAGTGAATGAGTGGATGAACAGTTGAACAGTCAAATAAATGCTAGGCTTATGGAAAAGGTAGACCTTTTGGATGGCCCATCCAAATCTTTTGAAAATAAATGTCCTCCCATCAGGAAGTTTAAAAGTCAAGCCAGTAAATAATGGAGATTTAACTCCATTTGGTTTTTGGTTTTTTGTACAAAAGATGCTGGTAAGGAAGGATGGCTCCACAGGGATTACTTCTGGGAACACAGACTACAGAACCAAACAATAGGCCCTTACGTTATCTAGGGGGATCTCTCTTTTTTTTTTACCATTTGTAATTGGTGATATCATAATTAGGCCTGCATATTACTTGTGAACACTGCCATACAATGCACCTCATTTAGCTGGGCTTATGGAGATTAGATCATGCACAGGAAACTGGCTCCTTGGTTATCAGGCTCCACAGAGGATCTGGGAGGCTTAAGGAGTGTGAAAAATTAGGGTTGATTTAAAGGGACAGGGTTCTCTGGAAAAGCAGAATTTTCCAGCTTGTGCCTCCATGACCTTTAGTACTCCATAAACAGCATTGATAAAAAATAAACAGCATTGATTTCTACTTCAATTAAACACAATTAATAATTAAAATTTGATAGCATAGACACATAATGATGATGAATGGAGAAAGATGAACCTTCAGTGATTAATTCTTTTTTAAAAGATTTTATTTATTTTAGAGAGAGAGAGCAAGCACAAGCAGGGGGAGCGGCAGGCAGAGGGAGAAGCAGGCTCCCTGCTGAGCAAGGAGCTTAATGCAGGACTCCATCCCAGGACCCCGGGATCATGACCTGAGCTGAAGGCAGCCACTTAATCGGCTGAGCCACCCAGGTGCCCCAGTCTTAGCCCTCTTTTAAAGGATGAGGAAAGGGAATCTTAAGCCCTTATTTATAGAAAGAATATTGAAAAAACAGAATTTTGCTCTTCTTAATTCTTTAAATTACCTGCTTTGGATTATTATTATTATAATTGGTTTACTTGTTTTATTCTTCTTGGTAGATCACAAGCAATTGAGAGAGAACAACTCTTACTCATTTTTATATTCACTACAATGCCTAGGACAATGCTTGGATTCCAGTGGGTATTCACATAAATGTTGTTGAATGCATTTGTGCTATCCTTTTTGAAAGGACAACTAAAATGTGTAACATAATTACTGTTAACAAAAATCGGCATCCTTACATGCTTAACCCTATGAAGTCAGTGCAGAGCTAGGTGCACATTGTAATTTCTTTTAACATTTATTGAATTAGAATAGGACATGCCCATATGGCAGTTAGATCTTAAGAGTGACAAATCTAGAGCAAGCTTTGTTTTATTTTTCAAATCTAGTTTTAAGTTTTTCTATTTGGCATTAATTGCTTGTTAGTTCCTGAGCAGGGCCTTCAGTAATTAGAGAATTATTGTGTAGATGAGTAATAGATTAGCAAGAGACACAAAGGTAGTCAAAAGCAAGAAAGGAACGGGTCAGGAGATGGATTAATTTACCCATTTTCCCCTGAAGTTCTTCAGGCTGCACACACGGAAGGGCACTGCTCCAGCTCAGGCTCCCTGTGTTTCAGCCTGTCTGCCAATCTCAAATGGTTTTCTTAGCCTTAGAGCTAAAATTGTTTGGTTTAGAACTAAAGTGTTGCTTAAGATAAAACTCTCTATGCTGCTAGTAGGTATGGTATTTGATTCCCATTCCTCTGGCCTTGTACTCATGGTACCTCTCACCATTTTCTTTTCCCTAGGTATACGTGGTCGGGAATGAACCTGTGACAGTTTTAGTGGATTCCCTGCTTCCCGTCCTGGGAGTGCTCTTTTCTCTCTACTGTTTTACCAAACAAAGTGTGTCTCACATAAGGTAAAAAAAAAAAACCCCAGAGAAACTTATTTGTTTATAGTGAAATCTTTATTGTATGTTTTTCTTATTCTTATTTTGAATATAAAACTTAATGCTACTTGGTAATTTTTTTTTCTTTCAAAATCAGTAAAACATTTGAGGATCCTCTTATTCTCATCTGCAAAAGAAAGAGAGCTTTTCAGATCGCAGGGGATTGGATGTAATTTTTAGAATGGCTTTCCTCAGCCTCTGTCCTAGACGTCAGAGACAAAATCCCTGTTTGCATGTGTAAACATGTCACTGTTTGATCAGGGAGAAGTACTGGAATTACATGTCTAGGAAGGAGGAAATGGAGAATGGATCATAACAACCTTGTGGGGAATGAGAAATCAAGTTGGGGAAATCTGGATCTGAATGTGGCACTCTGTCATTTAGACTTGGATTTGGTGTGAGTGCTGCTCAGTGTTGTTTGGAACAAAGGGATTTCTTAATCATCCAGAAAATAATCTCTTGTATTGGAATTTAAGTAGGCTTCATTTTGTGTCAGCTCTGTTTTCACAGATACTTACATTGTTTCTTCCTCCTTATAAGGGTTTATATCCTTTTTAAAGTCCTAGGGAATTCTGATTTTTAGTGTTTGGAAATCCCCCACATGTGATCAGATATACAGTAATAATACCTTCTTCATAGGGTATTATGAAGACAGACTAGAAAGTGTTTAGCACTGTCCCTGGAAAATCGTAAACTCAGTAGACCGCTTCCATCATCGTTGTTAAGCAGTGAAGGAAAACTCACATACTACTTTGGACTCTAACTTTTGGTCAGCACATCCTTAGAGCCCAGCTCTAGGAGCAGTGACAAGAGAGGAAGATGGGGACAATAAATATGTGAATTTGGCTTCAAAGAACTCTCCATATAATAACTTATAGTTTTGAAACCCAAATATTCACAGCACTATCATGTCCTCATCAGAGACTGGGAAGGCGGAAGCAAATGTTTATTCCATCCCAACCCTCGTTGACTGGCAGAGATAAAAGGGGCTGAGGAATCAGCCAGAATTTGTTGGTATGCTGTTTCTTGGTCACCAGCTCTTGGTCCCATTGGTAGATGGTTTTATCAGTGTAAACTTTCTTTCACAGGGCCTGATCCAAAGGCAGTGCTACACTTGGAATTATTTTTTTTTAAAAAACCATGTGGGGCTCCGGTGTCTTATCATGGTTGCTTCTAGGGCCAAAGATTAGTCAGTTACTCATTGAATTTCAGGATATTTGATATATCCTGAAATTCACAGGAAGCGTAGTTTCCAGTCCTACACTTCAGTAGTACTAGGTGGTCATGCCAGCATTTTGAATGCCGTGGAACCTGACAGTCTTCCTTTCTTTTTTTATGTTAGCTTGTTAGATGTGTAGAGTAAGATGACAGGCTCATTTATAACTGCTTTTTCTGCCAGGTCACTTTGCCAAGAGATCTTATTATGGATTCTGGGGAAGCTAGAGAGGAAGAAGGCAATTGCCAGCCTGAAAGGATTTGCAGGATTGGACAAATCTGTGTCCTCTCTTCATTCTCTGTGTCAGTTTAGAGCTGCCACTCGAGGTGGCATCATGGTTACCATCAAAGAGGCCATTTGGTGAGTCCACCCATTCTTTACCCTCTCTCTTCCGACACAATTGCACCCAAAAGGCCCTTCCCTGACTTGTCCACTAAGGGGCGCTGATAGAACGGGACCTAGAACTTGAAGCAGCTGAGGTGCTGCTATTTATAATCTCTAAATGAAATGTGAGCGCCTTAAATAATCTTTCAGGTTTTTTTCCCAGATGCTAGCTAATAGTAGGTGTAATTTGCTGGAGCCTCACAGCTCTGCATCACAGGCCCACTTACTTCACAAAGTCTTTGCCAGAGAATCAGAGTAAAGGGCAGTCACATGTTTACCCTCAGCACCAGAACCATCCATTTCTCTTTCTGACTCTAAATGGTGTATGTGTGTTCAGAGTCAGACTTATTCCTCAGGAAAATTGTCTAATTGCTATCTTTTATGTTAATTTTATGATGGGGGTTTCTTTCTCCTGGAGAGCAATTAGGATATTAGTGGAATGGATCATTTATTTCTCTAACATCTTACAAGTATATTTTAAATTATTTCCTTTTTTTGGGTGTTATGTGTAGATATTATTACCTTAGAATGTAAGTTCCTGTTGTCCAGAGTCCCATACAGTTCTTAACTGACGGCTCAGATTTTTTTTTTTTTTTTTTTATTCATTTGACGGAGAGAGACACAGCGAGAGAGGGAACACAAGCAGGGGGAGTGGGAGAGGGAGAAGCAGGCTTCCCACGGAGCAGGGAGCCCGATGCGGGGCTCGATCCCAGGACCCCGGGATCATGACCTGAGCCGAAGGCAGACGCCCAGCGACTGAGCCACCCAGGCGCCCCAACAGCTCAGATTTTTACATCACATTCAAAGTGTGGCTGTTTGTTAAGGTGTAAATTTTATTTTTTGTTCCTGGTTAACTTAGTAAAGTTATAAGACACTCTTTCAATATGATGGATTTGAGGAAAATGGAAAACACATATTGATTGCAAGCAGAATTATCAGTACAAACGCAAGCTACCAATTTCTTGAGAGTTGTTGAGCACTAGTAGGTTTTGTGGTTGTAACTATGCCCCTGAACTCAAAGAGTTTAAAATTTCTTGACATGTTTATTTTATAAAAGCACTTTGGAACAGTTTAACCTGGGACCACTTTAGTGACTGTATAGAGAATTTTATAGTCTAACTTATCAGTAGTTAAAGCTAATTGCCATCATGACAAGTCTCTAGTGTACATCTTAGTGCACATATGTCAGAATCGACAGTTCTTATTGAAACTGTAGTTTCTCTTCATGGTAGGAGAAAACTGAATAGGCAGTTACTGAATGAATCTCCATCTACTGCCAGAAGCAATGGACCCTTAACTCCAGGTTTCTACATGGACTTCTAGGCGTCCACAGTCCCTTTGAAATTATATACAAGAAATTTTTTTCTGAAAATAGGGTCCATAGTTTTCATTGGATACTTAAGATAGTCTATATCTCCAAAAAGTTGACATTCACTATATCAAAGAAGTGTGTGTGTGTGTGTGTGTGTGTGTGTGAGAGAGATTTTATCTTTTGTTCTAAAGATCTTGCTCCTGTTGCCAGTCCCCTAAAGGCAAACCTAAACCTTTTACCCTATCATTCTGTCCAGGAGCCCCAGTTATGAATAAAAAGTTTGTTTAAAGAAACACTAAAAGAGCAGCTTAGATTTCATGATCTTTGGATCCAGAATTTTTACTTTTCTGGAACTAAATAAACTACAATATTTGGAATTGACTCATTTATCATTGAAATTTTAAGAATGAATGAAATAGAGCTTCATAAGGTAATTATTGTCATGTCTTTTTAAAAAAGTATTTGAATATAATACTTCATTTTGACAGGATGGTTCAGAGAAGCTTAGAAGTGACTCTTAGCCATTTCAGTTTTTTTCCTAACATAAATGTGATGTAGATACATGACTGATCTGAAGGACGCTGGGAGATTCTGGGATAATATAAGAAATGATCTTAAGCTTAGTTTATAGGTTATTTATTTTACTAGAGGAGTATAAAGGCCATGGCAAATTGGTGAACTGGCAAATTGGGACTTACTGCCCAATGGGATGGCCAAATTAAGTTTATTTCATAATTGTATTTTTCAATGATATGAAGCAACATCTGTCATTTTTTTCTCAGTTTAGTCTGAAAACACTTTGTTCCTTCTTTAATCACAAGAGTACATACCTTCTTTGTATAACACAAAAAAGCATAAAGAGGAAAACAAAAAGCAACTACGATCCTAGTCACTGCATTTTTTTTAGTGTTTTGTCTTGTAGTACATCTTTGTGCTTCTGTGTTTGTTTACGTGATATAGTATAATAATATCGTATCTTTGTTTTTTCATTTAATCTGCAATAAAACTAAAACCCTTAGTACCTCATGAGAAGTTTCTTAAAACTTTTTGCAGAAATCGTAGCATTGCTTTTACTAACTTGGCCATATTTTATTACTTGGAAATTTGGCCTACTCAGTTTTCTGAGTCTTTATGCATTTCCATATTTCTGCTGGTTAGTTATTAGTTGAGATTGACTGCATGTTCCTGTAAGGATAGTGTCTTTTCCTACTGCCCATAACCCTTCAGTGGCTCGTCGAAAAAAAGTCTAGCTTTCTTTGAATGGCCTTTAAGGCCCTCTGTGATCTGACCTCCTTTGCAGACTTCCTTTTTTTTTTTTTTAAAGATTTATTTATTTATTTGAGAGAGAGAGAGAATGAGATAGAGAGAGAGAGCATGAGAGGGGGGAGGGTCAGAGGGAGAAGCAGACTCCCTGCTGAGCAGGGAGCCTGATGTGGGACTCGATCCCGGGACTCCAGGATCATGACCTGAGCCGAAGGCAGTCGCTTAACCAACTGAGCCACCCAGGCGCCCTCCTTTGCAGACTTCTTTTTCTGTATTCTTCCTCAGGAACCAGAGTATCTGCATACAACCTATACTTTAATTTCTCCTTGCTTTTTCAATTTATTGAAATAATAGTAATTTCTCAACATCCATCTGCAAAGCCACCTCCTTCATGAGTCTTTTCCCCATTGAGCAAATGAATACGTAGAACATGATACCCTACCTTCTGAGAATACTTTTTCAGCATGGAGAAACAGGAAAATAACTTAAATTTTGGGATCTTTCTAATGATTTATTGTATGAAAGTATCCTCTTACTTTAGAAGATTATTATGGAGTTTCAAAAAAAAAAAATCTCCGGGTGACACTGCCAAGATAAATCTTACCCCATGTTGCAGTGATGAAGATGAAGATGAAGCCCTGTACCAGAAGGTGTCCTCAGAGCAGTGCCAGGTAGAGCATCTTGGGGACTTGTTAGCCCACTGCCAAGAGTGCGGTTTGGCAGGTGACTTCTTCATTTTCTGCTTGAAGGTAAGAACTACGTATAGTAAGGACATGGTCAGCTGTATTCTGGGGTAGCACCAGGATCCCCTTTGAATTTTCAGTGCAGTCATAATTTTATTTTTTTTATTATTATTTTTAAAGATTTTATTTATTTATTTGAGAGTGAGAGAGTGAGAGAGAGCATGAGAGGGGAGAGGGTCAGAGGGAGAAGCAGACTCCCCACTGAGCGGGTAGCCCGATGCGGGACTCGATTCTGGGACTCCAGGATCATGACCTGAGCTGAAGGCAGACGCTTAACCAACTGAGCCACCCAGGCGCCCTTATTATTATTGTTTTTTAAAGATTTTATTTATTTATTTGACAGAGAGACACAGTGAGAGAGGGAACAGAAGCAGGGGGAGTGGGAGAGAGAGAAGCAGGCTTCCCGCCGAGCAGGGAGCCCGATGCGGGGCTTGATCCCAGGACCCTGGGATCACGACCCGAGCTGAAGCCAGACGCTTAATGACTGAGCCACCCAGGCGCCCCAGGGCAGTCATAACTTTAGCTCCTAAAATTAAGGTCCTAATCTAAGAGAGAAATAATCAAAGGAGGTAAGAGTAATTTATTTTTTAGTAGCCTTTGGGTTGGTAAAAAGAAAAAAAACTTACCTTCAGCAGTACATGTATGATCGAACTATTTCCCGAGGTAATCTGCCCTAAATTTTGAGAGATGGCCAGAGTAGAACTGTTGATCTATGAAACGGTTAATCTTTGCTCTGTGTTGACAATAAGTACTCTTTTGAAGTTAATAGCAGGTTTTGCAGTTATGGAGTAATCCTTTATCCTTTCTGACTGTTGTTTTGTCAGGTATTTGGAAAGGAGATTTAGCAGTTCTGCCTTTCTCATTTCATTTTGTAACCACCTGAAACCTTTTCTGGGTCTGTTTCTTAGTGCTGGTGATTGTGCTTCCTCTTGCTCTAATCTCTGACGGTACCCAATTCTCTACTACTTATTTGCACTGTTTGAGACTGTAAACAGGGTGATCTCTGATTTTCTATCCTCCAGCTCTGCTTTCTCCATTATTTTCCCTAAATAAAGTGTCTGAGAGAATGTTTGTGGAGTTTAAGGTTGTTGTAGTTATGGGGGAATTGCAAGGAGAGAGTCAGGGCTAACACTTCTAGAACTTGAAGTAGGGGCCACTTTTTTGATAACTTTTCTTACCTCTTGTGTTCACATTTTAAAAAATGATTTATTTATTTATTTTGGAGAGAGAGAGAGAGAGAGAGAAAGGGGGAGAGAGCGCACGAGTGGGAGGGGCAGAGGGAGAGAGAATGTCAAGCTGACTCTGCACTGAGCACGGAGCCTGATGTGTGGCTCAGTCTCACAACCCTGAGATCATGACCCTGAGACCACAACCTGAGCTGAAACCAAGAGTCAGCTGCTCAACCGCCTGTGCCACCCAGGCATCTCTTCCTGTATTCACATTCTATCCCCTTACCTAGCCACTCATTGTAAATAACATTCCAAGAAGATGTGCTCTTAAATGGAGAATTTAAAAAAATTGTTTAAAAAACAAAAAAAGTCAGGGGTGCTTGCATGGCTCAGTTGGTTAAGCGACCGAATCTTGATTTTGGCTCAGGTTGTGATCTCAGGATCATGGGATCAAGCCCTTTGTCAGGCTCTACCTTGGGCATGCAGCCTGCTTGAAATTCTCTCTCTCCCTCTCCTGTCCTCCCCACCCCATGCTCTCTCTCTGAAATAAATAATAAGTAAAATCTTTTAAAAAACAAAAAAACCAGAGGGCTTTGCTCTAGGCCAAGGTTTTTGCACCTTAGTACCATTGGCATTTTGGGCTGGGTAATTTTTTTGTTGGGAGGCTGGGGGTTTCCTATGCTTTCTTTCTTTCTTTTTTTTTTTTTTTTTTAAGATTTTATTTATTTATTTGACAGAGAGAAACACAGTGAGAGAGGGAACACAAGCAGGGGGTGCGGGAGAGGGGCGGGAGAGGGAGAAGCAGGCTTCCCGTCGAGCAGGGAGCCCGATGCGGGGCTCGATCCCAGGACCCTGGGATCATGACCTGAGCCGAAGGCAGACGCTTAACGACTGAGCCACCCAGGCACCCCTCCTGTGCTTTCTTGTAGGGTGTTTAGTAGCATCCCTGACCTCTACCACTAGATGCCTATATCACTTCCCAATTATGACAACCAGAAATGTCCTGAGACATTGCTAACTCTCCCCTGGGAAGCAGAAATTCCCAGGCATGGTTGGGAACCATTGCTCTAAACTGCCACTTAGGGGGCGCCTGGGTGGCTCAGTCATTAAGCGTCTGCCTTCGGCTCAGGTCATGATCCCAGGGTCCTGGGATTGAGCCCCGCATCGGGTTCCTTGCGCGGCGGGAAGCCTGCTTCTCCCTCTCCCACTCCCCCTGCTTGTGTTCCCTCTCTCGCTGTGTCTCTCTCTGTCAAATAAATAAATAACATCTTTGAAAAATAAAAATAAACTGCCACTTTCTTTGGTAAAGCATTAATTGTTAAGGAACTTAAGGTTTTCCCTTCCCAAGGAAATTTACAGTGTGAAGTGTAGGGGAAAAGCCTACAAACCCCACAGTAATGAATTATCTACTAGTAGAGATTAAATATTATAGAGAGAAAAGTGCTGAAAGCATTTAATAGTCTCTAAAAAGTGTTTGAAAATATTACATGGCTTGAAGTCTCAGTTCAGCAGGGCTAGTGGTAGAGATCGTAAAAAATGCTGATAAAGTAAGTAGCCTATCATACTAGTTCTCTTTGTATAGGTATGCTTTTTATTATGAAATTTTAAATCTTCATATAAATATAATATACATATTATTCTACAATTTCCATTTTTCTCTCAACACTGTTCTTGAGATCTTTCTTTTGATTTCCATATTGGTCTAGTTTATTTATTTCAACTGCTCCAGTATAATAAATACAGTTTATTTATTCCTTCTCCTATTGCTAGACCTTTGTCTCCAAGTTTTGGCTATTATAAATAATGCTACAATGAACACTTAGACTAGTTCTTTACATATACATTTCAAACAGAGTTTTCTCACTGTTGTTGATGCCCTTAGTTCTATGGTTTTTTCCTTCACTTTTTCTTTTCTCCAATGCTGATAGGAGTTGACTCATGTGGCCATGGAAAATGAAGCAGAGTTAAAAACAAAGCCCTTCTCCAGCAAAAGCCTCTTGGAATTAGAGCAGCACCAAAGTCTTGTGGAAGGCCAGGAGCAGAAGCTGCTGGTCCTACAGCTGTTGGCTGTTCTCTGCGAGAGGATGTCTGAGCAGATATTCACAAACATCACTCAGGTCAGTGGCTGCCACATTCCAGATCCCAGGCTGGTAGTATTTGTCTATTTTGGTTTCTTTATGTGCTTTCCAAAAAATGTTAAAAAAAAAAAAAAAAAAGTTGCTCAGAGGATGGCTTGATAACACCTGCCTCAGTGTTACCTGGAATGCTGCTTAAACATGCAGAGTACTGAGCCCATGACAGCCAACGGAATCTGCACTTGTGAAGGTCCCACCATGTTAGAGAAGCTGGCATATTAGAGAGGCTCCGGCTGTGATTCTCATGCAGAGAAAACTTTGAGAATTGTTGTAGATACTGATGTGTTACATTACAGGGTCTTCACGTTGGGGGGCAAACACAATTTTCTGAGTCTTTTTCAAAATACGGATGCCCGGCCCACTGCTTATAGAGATTCTGATTCAGCATGTCTGCATTAGCGCCTGGGCATCTGTATTTTTTTAAGCCCCATGGATGATTCTAACATGTGTCAAAAGTTGAACATGATTAGAAAACTTAAATTTGAAAAAAAAATCACTAATGATAATAATACCACTTTGAATTTCATAGATCTACCTGACACCCTATCTCCACAGCAGCCTATGAAGTTTTAAGATGTTTTTAAAAATGTTTGAAGGGTACTATAGCTATGTGAATCAGTTCCTGGATTTTGTTGGCTCAGACATTATATTTACCAGCTTCATAAAAAATAGGAAATAAAAGGGGCTCCTGGCTGGCTCAGTCAGTAGAGTGTGTGACTCTTGATCTCAGGGTTGTGAGTTTGGGTCCCACATTGGGTGTGGGGCCTACTTAAAAATAAAAAAAAAAAAAAACAACAAAAAACCCAGGAAATAGAAGTAATAAAGCGTAGGAAATGCAGTCACCATATTTTTACCATTATTACTGGAATTAGTTGTTGCTTGGCTGGTGAATAGTCAGTTGTAAGATGGTATCATTGTCACGCTTAAATCTGATTCTTCAGCTCTTTGTATCGCCCTCATTGTCATCTGCCTTCGGGTGTTGCTAAGCAGCGTTTCACTCTAGCTCCTGCTGAGAAAATTTGCAGCTGTCTGTCAGCTCCAACTTACGTGCCTGTTTAATGAGAATTATGTTCATGATTTCTTTTTTGGCTTCTTATTCCTTCAGTTCACTGACTCTGTGTTACCCAGTAGGGTGATTTGTTTCTCCTGTGTTTATATCAGTTCCCTAAAGACTTTTTCACCCAGACCTTATGTTTTTGTCTGAAGATGCTAGTTGGAAGGGAAAATGGCTTAAAAACTATATGACTTGAGCTTTTGCACTTAGCTGCCTTTGCTCCTAATTAAGGAACAATGGTTTTAGGCTGATAGAGAAGTGACTTGTCCCATTAAATTATCCTTCAGCTAAGGTTAAAATGTATCAAGATGAAAAGAACCACAAAAAAATATTAAATTGCATTTAGTAGTTTTACTACTAGTGATAATTTTAGTATTTATTTTGAAATACACACACATATGGATAAGTTATAAATAATGTATGTTATAAGTAATTTTGTTAATATCATTAGGAACCAAGATTTTCAGCATAAGAAAAAAAGTTATGAATATAAAATTACAGAGCTTGACTAAAATTCCTATAATAGTGACTTTCATTTGGAAGTATTCATATGAACTCACAATTAATTTTTTCTTTTTAAGAAATAGATAGTCCCTTGCTCATTCCACTGTCCATGCCAGGCAGCAGTGACAACCCAGCTACACTGAGCATCCTTCGTGCTGGACTGTAGTTTCTAAATATCATGTCCTACTGGAAGAACACAAAGCTCGTTGGAGTAAAGGTTCGTTCAAGGTCTAGGGCAGGAATTGTCCACTGTAAGCCTCAGGGCATCTTGTTGTACCTAAAGAAAAGGAAGATGCCTGAGATTAATGAAGTCATATCAGTAGTACTCAGGAGACAACTTGAAAGATCTCCTCTTGGCCACAGATAGGGCATTTTGAGTATTAAAAAGAATAATGCCTGGGGGCACCTGGGTGGCTCAGTCGGTTAAGGGTTAAGGGCTGCCTTTGGCTCAGGTCATGATCCCAAGGTCTTGGGATCGAGTACCACATGGGGCTTCATGCTCATCGGGGAGCCTGCTTCTCCCTCTCCCTTTCCCTCTGCCTGCCTGTCTGCCTACTTGTGATCTCTCTCTCTATCAAATAAATAAATAAATAAATAAATAAAATTAAAAAAAAAAAAAAAAAAGAATGCCCGCAATGGATTGAAACACATCAAAGTTATAAAAACCTGAGCCACTGTCCCCTTCTCCCCCCTAAAATCCCTTTTGGACATCTCTGGAAGTTTCTAGGGCATCAAGTCATTATTTTGTAAATTGATAAATGAAAGAATAAAACATTTATCTTACCTTTTCTGTCAGCACTGTATTTCATTGTAACCAAATAGCTGGTGGAAAAATTTTCTTTATATAAGAATCACAGCTAAAATATTCAAAAAGAGACCTACAAATTTATATTTTGCAATCCCTTAATGAAATAATGGATCTAGGTGACAATCAATGTCTGCTAAAACTATTAGGGGTACTGTATAATGAATGTAATTAGGCCAAATACATCCAAATCAATGATCCTTTTTTCCCCCAGCATTTTATTATGAATACTTTCAAACTTGAAAGAATTTTATAGTGAATATCTGTATACCTACAACTTAGATTCTACTATTAGGATTTTATTATATTTGCTTTATCACATATTTATCTATGTTTCCATCTGTCTATCCATTTTGTTTTCCATCTGTTTATCCATTTACTTTTTGGTGGATTTCAGGGTCAGTGTATATATCAGTGTATGTTCCCCTAAATATTTTCAGCCTGGAATGATTGATCTCAACATCACCAGAAGTAGACAAACAGACATTATGTGTCTCCTAATGTAATGCAATAGGAGGTATGTAGCACCACCTGGGAAGGGTTCTTCCCCCCAAAAACAAAGAAAACCCCACAAACAAGCAAACAAAAGATAAAAAAAGTCCATAAAATGTGAATCTGAATCTAATCAAGGAAACTGAGGGTACAGCAATGTTATGCCATGAAGAAGCAAAATCAGCCAATTTCAGAATGTGAGACATTCTAGAGTACAGATGACCCAGTTTCTTCATCAAGTAAATGGCATAAAAAAGGAGCAAGGCTTCTGTAACTTAAAAGAGACATATCAACTAAATGCAGTGTGTGCATTCTCATTCAAACATACCAATTGTGTGAGAGGACATTTTTACAACAGTCATGGGCCAAGTATTAGAAAGTATAAGGAATTTTTATCGAGAATAATCATGGTATGGTAGTTATGTATTGTTGTTGGCTTTTGTTTTTTTTTTAAGATTTTTATTTTTAGGTAATCTCTACACCCAACTTGGGGCTCAAACTTAGAATCACAAGATCAAGAGTCACATGCTCTACTGACTGAGCCAGCCGGTGCTCCTGGTATTACAGTAGTTCTGTTAAAAAAGAAAAACTCCTTGGGCGCCTGGGTGGCTCGGTTAAGCGACTGCCTTCGGCTCAGGTCATGATCCTGGAGTCCCAGGATCGAGCCCCGTATTGGGCTCCCTGCTCGGCGGGGAGTCTGCTTCTCCCTCTAACCCTCCCCCCTCTTGTGCTCTCTCTCTTTCATTCTCTCTCTCAAATAAATAAATAAAATCTTTAAAAAAAAAAAAGAAAAACTCCTTGTTAGAATGTATATTGAAGTATTTATGGATAAAAGATTAAAAAATTCAATAAAACATATTGGCAGATAGTATACGAGAAGATACAGAGAGGAATAAACCATTCGGTGGTCTGTGTAGGGATACAGAGCCCTGTACCAACTCCCCAGTTCCTTCATTCTTTTTTTTTTTTAAGAAATTTAATTTTATTTAGTTTTTTTTTTTTTTAAGATTTTATTTATTAGAGAGTGAGTGAGAGACAGAGCACAAGCTGGGGGAGGAGCAGAGGCAGAGGGAGAAGGAGACTCCCCACTGAACAGGAAGCCTGATACAGGGCTTGATCCTGGGACTCCAGGATCATGACCGGAGCTGGAGGCAAATGCTTAACCGACTGAGCCACCCAGGCGCCGCCCCACCTCCTTCATTCTGCAAATATGTAGTAAAGGCCCACTGTGTGCCACATACTCTTCTGGGTACCAGGGACACAGCAGTGAACAACACACATATCTATCCTCATGGGATTACATTTACGCAGGAGAGAGAGACAGTAAACAAGTAAGTACCAGAGAGAAAAATCAAACAAAGGGGATGTAAAGACAGTGTGGTAGATAGAGTCGTCATGGAGAACCTCACTGAGAAAGTGGCCTTTTTTTTTTTTTTTTTGAGAGAGAATGAACACGTGTGTGTATGCATGAGCGGGTGGGGTGGGGCAGAGGGAGAGGAAGAGAGAGAATCTTAAGCAGGCTCCACATCCAGCATGGAGCCCAACATGGGGCTCGAGCTCACAACCCTGAGATTGGACCTGAGCTGAAATCGAGAGTCGGTAGCTTAATCTCCTGAGCCACCCAGGGCCCCTCCAGAAAGGCCTATGACCAGAGATCTGGAAGCAGGGAAGGAGGGAGCCTCAGAGATACCTCGGGGAAGAGTGTTCCAGCTAAGAGGAAGCATGTCTCAAGTGTGGAGGGCTCAGCAAGGAGGCCAGTGTAAATGGAGTGAGATGAGTGAGATTTCCTTTTTTTTGTCCTTTCAAAAAATTGCTACCTTTGCACCTTTCTGTATTTAGATCTCTACTTGGCAGAGTAGAAGTGCTTTATATGATTTTTTTTCTCATATATTAAAAACGCTTTTAACATAAGTAACACATGCTCATTGTAGAAATATTAAACAACAAGTGCATAATTTAAGAAGTATGGACTTCTGATTAAAGATAGTATATTGAACACATGTGTTTATCTGCTCCTTCTGGAAACCACAGGGGCCAACAGAGCAGGAGAGGAGAGAGAGCAGATAAAAGAGAGTAACAACATTTGGAAACTGGGAAATAGCTGATCTAGCAACTCCGAAAATGGAGAGCTATGTGCCTGCATGGGAGAAGTCAAGAAGCAAAGCACTATACCTCAATGAAGCTGTTCACATTTTATTTTGAACAGAAAAAGAAAAAAAAAGGCAAGCTACTTCTCATTGCAGAACACTGGAAGGACTGGAGGTGGTAGATCAGCTGTAAAGATGAAGCTGAATTTAGAGCTTAAAACAGGTTGAAAGGCTCTGCAAGGTTCAGTAGACCACTTGATTCCTTCCTCAGATTTGTACAAACACCTCCCCTTCCCAGCAAAAGCCCAGAGGCATATTCTTGAGAGACGTTGAACTTGGGTGGCAGCAGCAAACTGAAAAACTGGAGCATTAGGTTGCTGTCTGCAGACTCAACAGTGAGGCCTCAGCCCGCTCCCACCCGACTGCCAGGATGTTGGCAGCAGGTTTATACATCCCCATCGGAAGGGGCGAGGAGGTAGGGAATTAACATCTGTAACGTGTTCAGAACAGTACCTGGTAAATAGTAAATGTTTAATGTTATTATTAAGCACCTAAACCATTAAATGTGGTTGCCTCTGTAGAGCCACAAGCAGACGGGGAGAAGTGGGGTAGGGCACTGCTGTTTTTCATTATAAACGTTCAGGAATATTTAACTTTTTAGATTACATAACATTACAAAAATGGTTAAGTAAAAAGTAAAAGTCTCTCCCTCCTCTCCACAACGTATGTAAATTCTAGAACACACTTCAGTTACATACCTATCCTTGTGACTGGCGGCCCCATCAGTCACAGGAAATGAGTAGTAGCCGGGAGGAGCTGTTGTCCAGATGGGCATGGTGGTTTTGTTGCTACAAGAAAAAAGCTTGGGGGAAAGGCACTTCATGGATGACAGTAACAGCTGGCTATCAAACCACAGTTTAAGCTCCCAGATGTTTTGTTTTTTGGTTTTGGGGATTTTTTTTTACATACATACAAACATAGAGTTTTTTTCTTAACAAAAATAGGATCATACTGCTTGTTTTGCAGCATCATATATATATATATATATATATATATAGAGAGAGAGAGAGAGAGAGAGAGAGAGGAAGGACTTAGAAAAAGTGGAAAGGCTAGATCTTTTCCAGCAATTTAACAGTACATTTGTGCTGAAGTAGAAGCTTCCTATAATCAAGGGGTGCTTTAGAAAACTCTGTGGAGGCAAAAGATGGTAAGTGTAGCATTTTCTCTAGAAAGGCCAGTGTCCTTAACTTCTAATATCAGTAAAGTCTTAGGCTTGAGAGGGTGGTGAAAATTGCCATAACCAGCGTTATTCATTTCAGTAAGTGGAACTTTTAATAACCTTTCTAGTTTCCTGCCTTGCTCCAAAGACAAGTGGTAACAAGCCATTCTCCTGACTTTAAGCTTGCAATAAAGACTGTAGCATAGCATAGCATGTGATTTGCCCAGAGAATTAAACATGCAAGCTTGCATGGTATTTAGAGGCTTATTATTACCTATCTCAGCTGTACCACTTTCAAAATGATTTTTCCCTTTTGAGCCATTAATCCTGAATATGCGTGTGTGTGTGCATGCTTGCACGTGTGTGCATGCAGATGCATGGATGTGTGTGTGTTTGCTTTTATTCAAAGTTATTTCTACTTAAGGTGATTAATGCAAGTGCAGTTAAAATGATGCTGACCAAATTAATTCCATTTAAAGCTTAGTTAGCCAAATGCTGTATAAAATCTTAAATATGAATAATCTTAATCCTTTAAAAATATTTGATACTTAAAAAAATGACTCTGGATCTTTGTACAGGTTGTTTGGGGATTCAGTTCTAGATAAAATTGAGTGCCTCTTCCCCTTTGCTTACTAGAATCAGACTGTCACAACCAGGTTGGGGCAGGGGAGTCCACATTAGGAGAAGCAGATCTAGGACCCTCTAAGATGGTCAGAAAGTATCAAATCATTTTTCATTTTAATTTCCTGGCAAAATTCATGAAAAGTCAAGGATGTTGGTTAGTATATTAAAACATTTGGGAAAGTATCAATGAGGTTTCTCATTTATTGACTGCATGGCCTTGACCAGCTCACAGATTCTTCACCAAAAAATGAGGACAGGATGCCTGGCTGGCTCAGTCAGGAGAGCATGTGACTCTTGATCGGGGGGTCATGAGTTTGAGCCCCACATTGGGAGTAGAGTTTACTGAAAAAAAATTGAGGGGGCACCTGGGTGGCTTAGTCTGTTCAGCGTCTGCTTTCAGCTCAGGTCATGATCCCAGGGTCCTGGGATCGAGCCCTGCATCAGGCTCCCTCCCTAGTGGGGAGTGTGCTTCTCTCTGCCCTTCTGCCCCTGTCTGTCTGCCCCTCTCCCCACTTGTGTTTTCTCCCTTTCTCTCTCAAATAAATAAATTTTTTTTTTAATTTATGGGGGCGCAGCGCACACAAGCACGGGGGGTGGCAGCGGCAGGCAGAGGGAGAGGGAGAAGCAGACTCACCACTGAGCAGGAAGCCTGACATGGGGCTCGATCCCAGGACTCTGGGATCATGACCTGAGCTGAAGGCAGACCCTTAATGTGCAGAGCCACCCAGGCGCCCCTAAATAAATAAAATCTTAAAAAAAAATGAGGACAGGAGCATTGACCTCCCAGAATTGACATGAGATGTAGGTGATACTGTGCACTTAAGACACTGAGCACCATGCCTGTTCTTGCAGGTTCTTGCCTTCATGATGTTGATGAGGAAGAAGGTGAGGATGTAGAGAGAATTTTGAGATTCTTTTTCTTAGTCCTCACTGATTCTAAATTCTCTTTCTGTCGCAGATTGTGGACTTCGTAGCAGCCACGCTGCAGCGAGCGTGTGCAAGCTTGGCGCACCAGGCAGAGAGTACTGTGGAGTCACAGACACTGAGTATGTCCATGGGGCTGGTGGCTGTCATGCTGGGAGGAGCGGTTCAGGTGAGTGGCAGACATGAGCCAAAGTTGGATGGAGGGAGGAGAGAGAAACTTGTTGCTTCCCTTCTTACCCTTGTAGAAAATCAGAATGGACGTTGCACTTAGGAGAATGAGGATAAACAAGTCAGGTGTTAATAAGAATTCTCTCCAAAGTAGAGGACAAGACAGTTGGACCGCTTCCACCTCATCACCTGTGTAGGCTTCACTGTCAGAAGGGCGGGGCTCTTCGTGACCTGGCCTCAGTGTTGTGCATCCCTGGAGAATACTAGCTTCTCTCTTCCTTACTCTAGGGGCTCTCCAAAGCTCAGCCCCTGTCCCTGCTGCTGTAGTTGGGGGAAAATTGTGTAAACTGCTGATTGCTTAGGATTCCATCTGTTTTGTTTTAGCACAGGACCATTGTTCAACTCACATCATGTAGCATGTTAAAGCCTTGTGTCCAGTGCATGTATCTTTTTTTTTTTTTTTTAGATTTATTTATTTGAGAGGGAGACAGCACAGATGAGAGGGGCAGAGAGAGAATCTCAAGCAGATGCCACACTGAGCGCAGAACCTGACACGAGGCTCGATCCCAGGACCCTGAGACCATGATCTGAGCCGAAACCAAGAGTCAGGCACTTAACTGACTGTGCCACCCAGGCGCCCCGAGTGCATGTATGTTTTACATGCTTAATTTATAATATTTAAATTCATTCACTCAAAAAATATTTATTGTTGGGGCACCTGGGTGGCTCAGTTGTTAAGCGTCTGCCTTCGGCTCAGGTCATAATCCCAGGGTCCTGGGATCGAGCCCCGCATCGGGCTCCCTGCTCAGCGGGAAGCCTGCTTCTCCCTCTCCCACTCCTCCTGCTTGTGTTCCCTCTCTCGCTGTGTCTCTCTCTGTCAAATAAATAAATAAAATCTTAAAAAAAAAAAAAAAGAATAGTCTTTGTTTCCATAAGTTGAGGGTTTTTTTGCTTTTCTCTTATTTAACACTTATAATTTTATACCGCATCCCAAATGGAAAATAGAACACAGATATTTCCATTTCCCTTTCTAGAAGCCCGTTGTTGGGGGACTGGCAATGTAAATTAGTCATGTTTTAAGAGAGATTCACCTGGCTGATAAAAATGTATGTCCTTACCTGTCCCTGCCCTTCCGTGAGCCATCCTGACTCACTGATTACATCCTGGATTCCTCTGACTTTGCATTTAGTTAAGTGAACTTAAACACGTCACCCCTTTACTTTTGCCCTAGATATATTAGTTTTGTTTTGTTTTTTTTCCTGTTTGATTCATGGATTCATAAGGGGCTTCTATAGAAATGCTGGGTTTTCTGTTTTTGTTTTAGAAAAAAAAGTCGTGATTCTTAATTATGTTTTCAGATAGTCATTGTCAGGCAAAAGCCTTTGCTTCATAGTCTAGATCATACTGTATCTACCCCGATTAGAGTTCATTGTTTTAGATAATGAAACAGGATCGAACAACATTTAAACCTTTCTTTCCTAATTTATGGAATTAAGTTGATTATTAGAACATAGTGTCTGGGAAGAGGAGTTAATTTGGAGAAAGTGTAGGTCTAAGACTGCTAACAAGACAAGTGTTATTCCAAACTCATTTTCTAAATTTCAGGGTTGGTCATCAGTGAAAGTGTGATGTTGTAACTTCCTGTCCCCTTAGGAAGCAGTTTCTTAACGATGTTCCAGGGCCCATCAGGTACCCTAACGCACTGCTGCATAGAGCTGATGTGAGCTTTGAGGCTCAGGGTGGTGGGGCTGGGATTCGAACCCACATCCTGGGATCTCATACCACATTTTCATTTTCGGAGACTATCATAGAGTGAACTCATTCAGGAAATATTTATCATGTGCCTCTTTGTCCTCATGGAGCTTACCTTCTGGTGGCTGTGATTCAGCCAGTGAATTCTTAATTTTTTTAGAAAAGATTCATATTTCTGTATCTCATGTGTCGCTCATTATAAAACAGGCTGTACTGCATGCTGACTTAGACCCAAAATAAAAATACCACTTGTAAATAAATTAAGTGATGTCAGAAATAAGAACTGGACATGTGAACTGCTCAGCTAAATATCTGAAGAAACAGAGATGATATATAGAAGTAAGAACACAAAGAATAAACATAAGTATTTTTTGGAATTAGGAATTTTTAGATCAGCATTTTATTGCTGGACGAGACCTTTGGGTTCTTCCAAAATAGTGATTCTCACTGGAGCATGACAAGGCAGGATGAGAATTTGTATGCCCCGTAGGTGAGCTTTGTAAAGCCTCATGTGGGACTTTTTCAGTGGACACATGCCCTCTTCTGACTGTCAGTTGGTTCTCATATGTTTACCTCTGCAGACGTGCTCCCTTCCACCACTCACTACCCTTAATCCCATTGTACCCAAATGGAACGGTCCAAGCTCCAGTTCTTAAATTTGAAAACTTGCAGAAATTCAGAACAACTCCCCATCTAACTGGTTCATTCCTGACACCCTGAAAGAAATCATAGACGTGGGCTGGCATAGCTCTGCTCATTCCACTTCTGAAGTATTCCAGAGACTCTGGAAGAGACACAGCCAGATAAAAGAATCTCACTCACTTGTGGGCTTCCGGCGTCAGGGCCTTCTACGCAGAATTCTGAAGTCTGGATATGAGATCTGTGCTGAGAAGCATGACAGGAGTAGAAATGAGGGCTACATGGTTAATTCTCAATTTTGATATGGCCTCGGTGACCCTTGAAAAATAATTAATAGGGCGCCTAGGTGGCTCAGTCGTTAAGCATCTGCCTTCGGCTCAGGTCATGATCCCAGAGTCCTGGGATCGAGTCCCACATCGGGCTCCCTGCTCGGCAGGAAGCCTGCTTCTCCCTCTCCCACTCCCCCTGCTTGTGTTCCTGCTCTCTCTCTCTCTCTGTCAAATTAATAAATAAAATATTTAAAAAAATAATAATAATGACTCAGTGGTTCCATTTTCTCATCTATCAATTAAGTGCATATTACTTTATACCTCAAAAATATTTTGAACATTTATGAACAAAATAGTTGGCACCTGTAGTCTTGGATTTCCCTGATTATTCTCATAGCGGAAAATCTATAGGCTTATGAAGCTGAAGGAATGCATAACTTTAATCTTAAGCCTTATAAACTATTTGAGTCAGAATCCACCTACTTGCCTATGATGATTAGAGAAGTTACCCAATTGAATAAGATGAATCCCACAATGACTAAGAATTTTGAAAACTGGAAGAAAAGATAGTTGGATTTTTTATTATTAGACTTCCTTTTTTTAATTTAAAAGATTTTTATTTATTTATTATTTGACAGAGACAGTGAGAGAGGAAACACAAGCAGGGGGAGTGGGAGAGGGAGAAGCAGGCCTTCCGCCGAGCAGAGAGCCCGATGCGGGACTCGATCCCAGGACCCTGGGATCATGACCTGAGCCGAAGGCAGATGCTTAACTACTGAGCCACCCAGGTGCCCCTAGACTATTTTTTTAGAGCAGTTTTAGGCATAGCAAAATTGAGCAGGAGGTAGAGAGATTTCCCACATACCTCCTGCCCCACAGAGCACAGCCTCCCCCACTAGCAACATTCTGCACAGGAGAGATACGTTTATTACTATCAGTGACCCTACTTTGGCACATCATTGTCACTCATAGACTATAGTTTACATTATGGTTCACTCTTGGTATTGTACACTCTATGGGTTTTGACAAATGGATAATGACATGTATCTATTATTATAATATCATTCAGAATAGTTTCACTGCCCTTAAAATTCCTTGTGCTCTGCCTATTCATCTTTCCCATCAAACCCTTGGCAACCACTGATCTCTTTACTTTCAGCAGTTTTGTCTTTTCCAGAATGTAATTTAGTTGGGATCATATACTTTGTAGCCTTTCCATACTGGCTGCTTTCACTTAGTAATATGCATTTAAGGTTCTTCCGTGTCTTTCAGGTTTGATAGCTCATTTCTTTTTAGTGCTGAATAATATTCCATGGTCTGGATGTACCACAATCTATCTTTCCCTTCACCTACTAAAGGACATCTTGGTTGCCTCCGAGTTTTGGCAATTATGAATGAAGCTGCTATAAACATCTATGTGTAGGTTTTTGTATGGACATAAGTTTTCAAGTCATTTGGGTAAATACCAAGGAGCTCAGTTGCTGGAGCATATGGTAAGAGTATGTTTAGTTTTGTAAGAAACTGCCAAACTGTCTTGCAAAAGTAGCTGTACCATTTTGCATTCCCACCAACAATGAATGAGAGCTCCTCTTGCTTCACATCCTCACCAGCATGTGGTATTGTCAGTGTTTTGGATTTTAGTCATTTTAAGAAGTGTGTAATGGTATCTTGTTTTAATTTGCAATTCTCTGATGACAAGCGATGTTGAGCATCTCTTCATGTGCTGTATATCTAATGTATCTTCTTTGGTGAGGCGTCTGTCAGATCTTTTGCCCATTTGTAAATTGGGTTGTTTGTTTTATTGTTGAGTTTTAAGAGTTCTTTGTGTCTTTTAGATACACAAAGAACTTTATCAGATGTGTCTTTTGCAAATATTTCCTCTTAGTCTGTGGCTTGTCTTTCTCTTGACATTGTCTTTTGCAGAGTAAAAGTTAAAAAATTTTTAAATTTTAATGAAATCTAGTTTATCGGTTATTTCTCTCATGGATTTTTTCCTTTGGTAATTTGTCTAAAAAAGTCAGTGCCATACCCAAAGTCATCTAGATGAGTTTCTCTTTTGTTATCTTCTAAGAATTTATAGTTTTGCATTTTGCATTTAAGTCTGTGATCCATTTTGAGTTAATTTTTGTGATAGTGTAAAGTCTGTGTCTAAATTCGTTTTTTGGCAGCTCTTTCTGCCTACGGATCCTGTCCCTGTGCTATAATAAAAACACCTTCTTGCACTGAAAAAAAATTTTCATTTTTTTGCACATCAATGTCTAGTTGTTCAAGCACCACTTGTTGGAAAGCCTTATCTTTTCTACATTCTGTTAACTTTGCTCCTTTGTCAGAGATCAGTGGACTATGCTGGAATCACTGTGTTGCGCACATGAAACTAATGTAACATTGTGTGTCAACTGTACTTCAGTTAAAAAAAATTTAAAGGATCAGTTGACTATATATAGGTCTCTTTCTGGGTTCTCTATTTGTTCCATTGGTCTATTTATCTTTTTTTTTTTAAGAAGAAATTATTGTATACAGTTGAAAAAGAGGCCATACATTGTAGCTATAAGTAGATATTCCCATTTCAGGTGCTTAAAGAAAAAACAAGTGTCCATAATACTACAGAAGAATACTACTGAATGAAGTCTGGCATAATGATAACACTCGCAAAATTATCTAAATATTACTATCTATTACTAAAATATCTTTCCCAGTTCCACAGATTCCTGATGAAATTGGCCCTTTTCTTAGATAACATATACTTTTATTCTGGACATACATATTCTCTTCTCCCTTTAAGACATAGTAATATTGGAACGGTTAGTTGTACACATGCAGATAGGTTAACGTATGTTGCAAAGCTAGAAAATTTACCTTCTGTCCATTTTGCATGGTTCCTAATTGTTTAAACAAAGAAATCTGAGGGGAATGTATGGTGAAATTCTACACATACAAGCCTGACATGAACCTCAAGTTTTTATTTACTTGGAAGGAAAGCGGTGGGGAAAATGAACAGTAATAGTTCTGTGGACGTAGAATTTAAATGAGAATGTTATATAGGTCCTACAAAGACGGTTGGTTGGTTGGTTGGTTGGTTGGATAATGAAGTGATTGAATGAGTAAGTAATAAATACCCCGCCTTGTTCTAAAAAAATCGGATTTAAGACCTGCAAGGTTTTCAAATATCAGGGACTAATGAAGCCCCATATGATAATATTCCTAGTGTTTTCAAACAGAAAGGGATTATCATTGCTTTTTTTTTTTTTAAGATTTTATTTATACATTTGACAGAGAGAGACACAGCGAGAGAGGGAACACAAGCAGGGGGGAGTGGGAGAAGCAGGCTTCCCGCAGAGCAGGGAGCCCGATGCGGGGCTCTATCCCAGGACCCTGGGATCATGACCTGAGCCTAAGGCAGACGTTTAATGACTGAGCCACCCAGGCGCCCTATCATTACTTCTTGTTTCTCTACTGACTGCACATGCACTTTTCCTAGGAAGGCATGTGGCATTATGCACAAAGCTTCTAGAGAGAATAAAACCTTAAGTAATTTTCACCCTCACTTTCTGGGAAAAATTCTCTTTTGCCAGTTATTGTCCCAGTCCCTTCCAGACGTATGATGTCCTTGAATGCTGACCAGCCACTTTAGAAAATGTAGTTAAAAGCTGCTTTATTTGTTCAGTTGAGACTGTGTAGGGTATTAGGTGAGAGGGTAGAATCTGGAGCCAGATTTACTGAATTCATATCTTACCATCTTCCAGTTGTGTGACCTTGTATATTTTACTTAGCCGTTCTGTGTTTCAGTTTCCCCCATTTATAATCAAGATAGTAATCATAGCTAGGATTATAGGGGTACGAATATGTGGGTATTCTTTTGTTTATCATATTTTGTCTTAAAACATTTACATAGCATTTACTATATGTCAGGCACTAAGTACTTTGCTAATATTTTTTTTTTTTTGATTTTGATTTATTCATGAGAGACAGAGAGAGAGAGAGAGTCAGAGGGAGAAGCAGGCTCCCAAGGAGCAGGGAGCCCGATGCGGGACCCGATCCCAGGACCCTGGGATAATGACCTGAGCTGAAGGCAGACGCTTAACCATCTGAGCCACCCAGGCGCCCAGTACTTTGCTAATATTAAGTCATCTTTTTATAGCAAAAGGTACATAGACATAAAAAAATAATACAATAAAAAAGATTAATAAAAGTCAAAATATAATATCTGGAAAAGAATTTCACCATATGACTGAGTATTAAAATCTGATACGGTGGGCGCCTGGGTGGCTCAGTTGGTTAAGTGACTGCCTTCGGCTCAGGTCATGATTCCGGAGTCCTGGGATCGAGTCCCACATCAGGCTCCCGGCTCAGCCGGGGAGTCTGCTTCTCCCTCTGACCTTCTCCCCTCTCATACTGTTTCTCTCTCTCTCTCTCAAATAAATAAATAAAATCTTTAAAAAAATAAAATAAAATAAAATCTGATATGGTAAGAATAGCTGTAATAGGTAAATGTGTACAAAGGTTGTAAACAGGCTGTTCACAGAAAAAGAAATGCAGACAGCCAATAAACATGAAAGGATGCTTAATAACCCTGGTAGGGAGTCTGGCTAATGCAAATTAAAACCATAAGATAACCATGTTTTTCCCACCAGGTTGTAAAAATTAAGTGTAATCATATGCCTCACTGGTATATTTTTAACTCAGAAAAGTACCTGCTCAGGGTAAGTATTTAATAAGTGTTAGCTATAATTATTCAACAATAGTTACTGAGTGCTAGACTATGCTGATTACACCATGAATAAGATACACTTCCTGCCCCTCTTACTCAGAATGTTTCCTTGTTCTCAGGCATTATTAACATCTGTTATATTAATTTCGGTTTGGCATTTTTCATTTCATTTTGTAGTTGAAGTCAAGTGGTTTTGCTGTCCTGAAGCAATTGCTGCCTTTGCTCGAGAAGGTCTCCGAGGTGTACCCTGACCCTGTCATCCAGGAGCTTGCTGCCGATCTCCGTATCACCATCTCTACCCATGGGGCCTTTTCCACTGAGGCTGTCAGTGTGGCTGCCCAGAGTACCCTGAACAGAAAGGATCCAGAAGGGGAGATAGAAGAGCAGCAACAAACCAGTCATGAAAGTTACACTGATGAGTCTCACCTCCAACAACAGCAAAGCCATGAGAAATCCAAACAAACGGGCCTGCAGTCTGATGCTCCACTCATTCCTCAGGAGGTCAGTGAGCCCAGAACTACTACAAACCAGAAATCTGGAAGTGTAACCACAGACCAGCTCCAGGAGATTCTCTTATCAGCTTATGATCCTCAAATTCCAACCCGGGCTGCTGCTCTGCGAAGTCTTTCCTGCTGGATAGAGCGGAGAGAAACAAAAGCCCTTGAGATGCAGGAGAAGCTTCTCAAGGTGAGTAGAACACACTGGCAAACCACAGGCACACAGAGTGGGGGCAGCTTTGCAGGAGATTTGACTGTGTATCAAGCACTGCCCTGGACTCCCTTGAGGGAAATTTTAATTGTTCCGAGGAGGCAAGACTGAGACCACTCAGCTGAGCATGAACAGGAAAGAAAAGGGGATGGAACAGCATGAGCAAATTCCCAAGAAGCCACCTGTTTTTTCTGGGCCCCTTTTAAGAGGGGAATTGTGCAGAACTGGGCCTTCCCCCGCCCCCCAACCTCCCTGCCTTCTCCCTCCATCACAGTGAAGAAGCTGTTCTTTACTTCGGAGATGTATGTGACAGAAAATGTACGCTTAGCTGAGGATCTTTTCCCTTTTATGGGAATTTTCCTGACCTCAGTATGGGTTAGAGATTAAGAGACTACTGATCAAATCGCAGATCAGTTTCTTGGACAAGTCATTTAAATTTTTTGAGCCTCAGTTTCTACATCTGTAAAATGAGGGTAATAACGATAGGACCCACTTTATGTTGCAAGATGTAGGGGTTCCTGGCTGGCTTAGTCGGTATAGCATACAACTCTTGATCTCGGGGTTGTGAGTTTGAACCCCACACTAGGGGTAATGATTACTTAAAATCTTAAAGAAAATAAAAGAAAGAAAGATTTAAAATAAAATAGTTCATGTAGGGGCATCTAGCTGAATTAGTTGGTAGAGCAGGCAACTCTTGATCTCGGGGTTGTTAGTTCAAGCCCCACGTTGGGCATAGAGCTTACTTAAAATAAATTAAAAAATAAAAATAAGAGACTTTAGAGGGAATGAATGCAGCCCTGCTGACCCCTTGGGAAAAAAAAAACAATCTATGTAAAGCACTAGTTAGAGTGATCGGCACATAATGAGCATCTTGTAAAGGTTCACTGTCATTACTATCATCATCATCATCATCATTATTATTATCATCATCTCTTTCGTACACTTTAGCCATTAAATTAAGAGTTATAATTCTGATTGAAAATATTTATCTTTAGTCACTAGAGTATTAGAACCAATAGTGTCATAATAATAACTGCTGTTGGGGGCGCCTGGGTGGCTCAGTCGGTTAAGCATCCGACTCTTGGTTTTGGCTCAGGTCACAATCTCAGGGTTGTGAGATCCGCCTCTGGCTCTGTGCTCAGTGCAGAGGTTGCTTGAGTTTCTCTATCCCTTTCCCTCTTCCCCTCCCCCCTCAAATAAGTTAATAATAATTATAATAATAATAATAATTGCTGTTTATTGAGCCAGGTCCTGTATCTTTCAGATATTATCTCTAGTCCTCATAACAGCTATAGTATTGGTATTATCCCCATTTTATAGATGAGACAACCAAGGCCTGGAAATGTGCCAAGGATTTGCTGCCATTGAAATATTGCTGAAAACCTCAAAGTATATATCTCCTTTGAGTAATCATTCAAACAGCCCTTCATACAGCTCTTTAGATGGTGAATGCTATAAACATCTTTGGAATTTTCTTTAACTTATTTAACCTTCATCTTCTGTGCATGATTGGTCAGGTCCATCAGTTATTTTTCCAAGAAGTCTCTCAAATATATCTCCATCTCTTCCTCTTTATTCCCTTGGCCACTACCCTGGGTTAAGCTTCCTTTACTTACATGATTCCCTCTACCCTTCCAACCTGGCCCTCTTTCCAGTTTAACTAATTTAGGTTCTTCCTAACGTGCTGCCGTTGTGAGACCGGCAGCACCAAGTTGGTATCAAGAATCACTGTGCCAGCAAAGGATGCATCACTATATATGGAACAGACACCTCATCCTCCTCCAGATACCAAGCAGGAAGCACATGAGCACATGGCCACTATCTTTCTCTGGCCCTCATATTAGGGCCTAAACTTATCATGTCGCTGTCATATCTTCTAGATAAGCCATACCCTCTGCAGTTGACACACCCTGGTGCGTTCCTAAATTGTGAGATAATCTGTTGAAAACAATTTGTTACTAGTTGAAGTGCTGAAATTTGCAAGAGGTTTAAAAAAATAAATTAGAACAGATTTAGTCCAATAATATCTCTGTCACTTGCATTCCCATATATTTCTGAGTGCAAGAGAAAAGGATCAAGTTATAGCAAATATACCTTCAATTGGACCTAACCCCAAACATGGCATCTCATGTGTCATGACTGGTAGTCTGTCACGACACAGGTGAGAATTGTCCACCATATGGGCAGTAGTGGAGAAAATGTTGAGGATTTTTCTTCCAGATTTTGCTTTCCATGCCTACTTCTGGTATATACTTAGCCACTTCAAGAAGTATCTCCCCCTAACTTGCCACCCTTCTTTAGCGATTATAAAAAGGAGACTTCAAACATATACACTGTTTTCCCTACAAGATTCTACACTCAGACCAATGTCTAGCTAAGACAAGAAGAAAGGCATTTATTCTTTTGAGGCTGCTCTAAGGGGCTCTCATGTCTTGCTTGCTCTTTGCGAATCGTATCATTGCTCTATTTTGTGGTTCCAGATATTCTTGGAGAACTTGGAGCATGAAGACACCTTTGTTTATCTGTCTGCTATTCAGGGTAAGTTAGTCCTGGTGAAAGGACTTGGAGTCTGTGGACCAAAGATTGTAGCATGTATGCTTGCACAAAATCTCTGAAGTTGTGGAACCATAAGGTCATTTTGTCCATCTTCCTGCCTCCTAGCTAGTACTCAATTTAAGTCATAATAATAATATTTCTGGATGGTTCCCTAAGGGTTCTAATAGAATTTCAGTGTCTGATAATGATGAGGAGGTCTTTATTATTCTATAGATTAAAGCCCATTTCTTCTCATTCACGGAGGTGATAAATGGCTCACACATGAACTTTCATTACCTTAACCTTTTATGTACTTGACTAATGCTAGAATGCACCCTTGCTTTCCCTTTAAACTAAAAGAATCTCATAGTATATAATATTTTTCATCAAAATGTTTTTTGCAATAATTTTATTTCTCTTTTGTGATTCTTTGTTCTCCCCATCTCCATTAATCTGTGTATTCCAAATCTTTTTTCTTTTTTAAGATTTTATTTATTTTGAGAGAGCGCATGAGTGAGGGGGAGGGGCAAAGGAAGAAGGAGAACCAGACTCCCTGCTCAGCAGGGATCCTGATGCGGGGCCGATCCTAGGACCCTGAGATAATGACCTGAGCCAAAAGCAGATGCTGAACCGACTGAACCACCCAGGCACCCCCCCCGCATCTTTTTTTTTTTTAAGGTTGTGGATTCCAAATCTACAGAGAGATGTCATGAACAGGGATGTAGAGTATAGGCACCCGTCCTAAAAGGGTGAGAATCAGACATGGTGAGGTCATTTATCTCACAGCTTCTCTTGGCTCCAATGGTGGAATGTAATCGTCAAGAGCTGGGAATCTGGGGGCGCCTGGGTGGCTCAGTCGGTTAAAGCGTCTGCCTTTGGCTCAGGTCATGATCCCAGGGTCCTGGGATAGAGTCCCACATCGAGCTCCTTGCTCAGCAGGGAGCCTGCTTCTCCCTCTACCTGCTACTCCCCCTGCTTGTGCTCTTTCTCTCTCTCTGACAAGTAAATAAGTAAAATCTTAAAGAAAAAAAAAAAGAGCTAGGACTCTGGGACAGACCACCTGGGTGTACCTCCATTCCTCTGCCGCTCAGCTGTATGGACTTGGCAAATTACTTAATCTCTCTGGGCTTCAATTTCATATCTGTAGAAAGCGGGCTAAATAGAAATGTAAAATGGTACAGCTAATTTGGAAAACAGCCTGGCAGTTTGTCAAAAAGATAAGCATAGAGTTACCACTTGATGCAGCAATTTCACTACTAGGTATGTACTCAGGAGGATTGAAAACATAGGTCCATGCAAAACCTTGTACCTGAATATTCATAGCAACATTGTTCATAATAGCCAAAAGGTGGAACAACATAAGTATTCATCAACTGATGAATGAACAAACTGTACTTTATCCACACAATGGAATATTATTCAGTCATTACAAAAAGGAAATAGTGAAGGGGCCCCTGGGTGGCTCAGTCGTTAAGCGTGTGCCTTCAGCTCAGGTCATGATCCCGGGGTCCTGGGATCAAGCCCCACGTTGGGCTCCCTGCTTGGTGGGAGGTCTGCTTCTCCCTCTCCCACTCCCCCTGCTTGTGTTCCCTCTCTCGCTGTCTCTCTCTCTGTCAAATGAACAAATAAAATCTTTAAAAAAAAAAAATACTGAAGCATGTTATAGCAGGGATGAACCTTGGAAACATTATAAGTGGAAGAAGCCAGTCACAAAAGACCACATATTATATGGTTCCTTTATATTAAAGATGCAGAATAGGGAAAATTTTTTTTTTCAGAATAGGAAAATTTATAGAGACAAAAACTAGATAAGTAGTTGCCTAGGGCTGGCGGGAAGGGGGAGAGCATTGGGAGGTAATAGCTGAAGCTAATAGCTGAATAGCTAAGGATTGCTTTTTGGGGTGATGGAAACATTCTAAAATTGATTGTGGTGATCATTGCACAACTCTGTCAGTATTGTAGGAACTGTTGAAATGTATACTTTAAATTGGCAAATATTATGACGTGAATTTTATCTCACTAAACTGTTACCAAAAAATTAAAATTTGATAAGAGTGGGGGAGGGATAAAACTGTCAGAGCTTAAGAAGATACAATGATTAAATGTAATGTGGTAGATAGGATCCTGGAACAGAAAAAGGGCATTTGGGAAAAACAAAGAGAATCTGAGTAAATTATGGAGTTTAGCTGATAATAAAATGTCATTCTTTGTTCATTAATTGTGACAAAGGTACAGTGCTAATGCAAAAGTTAATAGGGGCATCTGGGTGTGCAATATATGAGAACTCTCTGTGCTATCTTCTCAATTCTGTAAATCTAAAACTGTTCTATTGTAACAAGTCTATAAAGGGAGGTTAATAGGATTAAATGAGTTAATACCTTGAACGTGCCTAGCACAGGGGCGGCTAGCGGCTCAGTTGGTCAAGTGTCTGACTCTTGATTTCAGCTCAGGTTGTGCTCTCAGGGTCATGAGATCAAGTATGGCATCAGGCTCTGTGCTCAGTGTGGAGTCTGCTTGAGATTCTCTCTCCCTCTTCCTCTACCCTTCCCCCCCATCCCTGGTCATGTGTGTGCACATGCACACACACAAACACCCCCCCCCAAACACACACTGTCTCTCTCTCTCTCTCAAAAATAAAATCTTAAAAAGGAATGTGCTTAGCACACAGTAAGTGTTCAAATAAGGTTAGCTGTTAATGAATTTAGTGTTATCATCATCATCATCATCATCATATTACTACTTACTGCTTCTACTGTTAGACTGCTAGCTAATGTGGTAATACATGTAACTTCTCAGATCCAGAGTTTGAGTAGGCAGATGCTATCAGGTAGTTACTGCCATGTAACAAACTACTCTAAGGCTCAGTAGTTTAAACACCCATCATCTGTTATCACTCAGGCATGAAGGAATGAACCGATGGAGTTCAGCTGATGTAGGCTGCGTTTGGATGGACAGTTCTGCCTCTCCCTGCAGATCTGTGGGCCGGCTGCAGTAGCTCTGCTGTGCCTGGTCCTGGTCATCCCTAGCCCAGGGGCCACGTGGGGCGTATTGTGGTCATGGCAGAAGTGTAAGAGAATAAGAATAAACTCAAAAGGCCTCTTCAGGCCTAACCTTGGAACTAGCATCCTATCACTTCTACCTCATTCTGTTGGCTAAAATAAGTCAGTGTGGCCCAGCCCAAAAGTCAAGAGGTAGAGAAATAAACTCTTCCTTTAGTGGGACATACTGCCAGGTCATAGAGCGGAGGGCATGAATTCAGAGAGAGGTGAAGAATTGAAGCCAGTAATGCAGTCCTTCACTCTGACGTGTTCTGTTTGTCTGCAAAAGGCAAGGTCCTCTGTGAACACGAGGCATGCTTAGGTCTTTATTGGCTACTTATTTCTTGGTATAATTTGGGTACGCTTTGTACAGATCTGGTATTTAAAGCTTAAGAGAGAGTGCAGAGGGGATAGCATACAGTGATAAAGGCCAGAGCCTTGGAATTCATTCTTTATTCAGCACACATTTATTGTGCACCTACTATATACAAAACACTTTAACAGTGAGTTGTCATGCCTAGGTTAAAAAGCAAAAAGAAAATTCCTCAGAGGAGACAAAGTGACCACCCAAAGAGGTAAAAGGACAAGTTCGTGCGAGGAGAAGCCAAAAGAGTAGAGAGTTTCAAGAAAGTACCCACAGGTGAATGGGCAAAGAGGCCTGGAATTGAGATAAACTTGGGGCTCAGGAAGTCACATGACAATGAATGGTACTTATGGAAGCAAGATAAATCAATGAAGCAAGAACCTCAAATGCCTATAATTAAGTCTCAGAAAATAAGTCACCTGGCACTTTTCTCAAGAAACTATAATACTGTTATGATAAGTTGTTTCTTGTTGATTAATTTTTTTTTTTAGGACAGAGTTTTTGGAGAAGAGGAGGTATATCGTTCTCATGTGGCAACATTGCTGTTTGGAATAAGCTTCTTAGCTGATTAACCCATTGAGCTCATTAGCCTCTAGGGTCTGCTATAAAAATCAGAACTGTTGGTTTTATGTTTGTTTTTAGTAATTTTAATTGGCGTGCTAATCAGTTAGTAGCTAATTTGGCAATGAAGAACATGGGAGGTAGAGGTGTAATTTCTGTTCTCAGCTCCCCACAATGGACAAGTTTGAATTAATTGATGTTTTGGTGTTTGTAACATGCACTTAAAGGCCAAGGCCTTAGGTGAATTTCCCATTAAGAAAGGAAAGAGCTGAATTTTCCCACCCGCATTGCCAATGTCATTTGCCCAGGCATAAAGCATGCCAGGAGCTGAGCCATTTTGGACTCCCAGTCAGACAAGACCAGCCTATTTGTAAATGTTCTGCAGTATAAGGGGTGTTGGGCTGTGGTTTGAGTAGCATTTAGTTGCGGGGAGTGTGTGTGTGTGCGCGTGCGTGCGCGCATGTGTCTATGTTTAAAGTTTTCTAGGCTAAATGTCTCCATGTGAAAATTACAGCATATCTTTTGCTTAATTTGTTGATAAGTTGGGTTTCTTTTATAATTTCTCACCAACTTTGTAGTCTACCAGCAGAGCAGAGTGGGATTAAATAAACGCATTCATTCAACAGATACTGATACCTGATAAAAGAATTTCTGGTGTGTGTATTATCTGTGCGTCACAACAGTCTGAGAACTAAATTCCCTAGGAGTTAAATTTTAGTTTTATGAAAGACGTGGATCTCCTTTTAGTCCTACTGAGAAAGTGATGGTTGATTTAGTTCTCACCACAGCTACTCCGCAGTGGGTACTCGGTAGCAAGTTCTTCAGGCAGAGAATTATGTACCAAGTTCTTGAGTTCCAGTTTCAAGCCAGAGTTCATAAATAGAAGACCTAATCTTAGACTATGGCCATTAAGTGTCTCTCCTTTTTAGATTATTCTTTTTTTCATTCTTTGTTATATCATTATTATTGTTGCACAAATTAATGCATTTTCATTGTTCTAAAAAATTTAGTTGACAAGGAAGTATATAAGGTAAAAAGTA